GTTGAAGTTAATTTTGTTTATAGATGTTTTAAGGCATATAGATTTGGAGTACTGAAAAATATGGTACATTTCACTGTAGACACCAACGCAATTTCTGTTTTTCTGAGGGAAGATAGGAAGAGAGTGTTCTCATTCCTCCTGTTTAATTCCATATACATAGATCAACATTTGAACCAACAAAATATGGTACTGCACTATAGGAAGCTCTGATTTTTGTGTTTTGGATACTCAGATAATGAAACTAACAACTTCCTCCTTTATTAAAGCCTGAAATACTAAGCCCCCAGCTTTTGGGAAACTTTATCCTTATAATTCTCACTGAAGTTTCATATAAAGATCAAGTTTTGTATATAGAGGAGTATTGTTAACCTCTTGTATTTGGGAGAGCACAAGACAAAGTACTCTGCCCCAAATAGCACAATTTCAGGACAATGTTCATTCCACAATTACTGTGCTAGCTATTATATCTTAAAGTCTTTAAGAACCAAATTACTTCTATTAAGAAGAAAATAACTAAAAAATATTCACTTCTCTTGTAAAATTAACATTAATAAGATTATGTGACAATTAATACCATTATGTGACAAGAATACCATATAATAGGTGTATTATGGCACTACTAGCAGAGATGGGAAGGATCCAAAGATAACGTTTAAATTTCTTCTCTCTCCAGAGCCAACTCAGCCTATACTCCTATGAACCTTTAAGCCCATTAAGTTCAAATCATTCTTTCACTCAACAAATAGTATGCTCTGGTCTTTCAATCTTTAAAGTGGAATATGCCTTTATAATAACTATGAGTGCATTTTAAAGAGTAGTTTGATAATCAAGACTGAATAATGTTATTAATCTTTAATCTTTATAATATAATAAATAAAAATGATTTCCTATTGAAAAACTCAAAAGCTTTGGTACTTTAGGTCACTTTAAATTTAAAAGACTCATATTCATTCTCGATCTGGACAAAATTATCCTTAAATGCTCAGTTAAATGTTAATAAATTTATGAAAATGTTCCATGCTGCCCCCAAACAAAATTTGTACCTTTCTCTTCTCTGCCCCCATAAGACTTTGATTTTACTTTTATCATGGCCTTAAGTGAATTCTAGCAGAATTTATGAATTGCATATATCTAACCCCTACTACACTATGTGCTCTTCATCAGCTTATTCAACACTGTATCTCCAGCACCTGGTAGAATACTCGGTACAAAGTGTTCATGATTATATCTAATCTCTCCTGTATGGGGGTACTTAGCCCACATCTGAAAAGAATAATCTCTCCACATCCATGCTCATATTGGAGCATGAGAGAGCCATCGGAATGTTGTGAGAATTCAGAAGCCTAGATTTATTGCTGCCCTGGGTCATCTGTAAAGTTAGCTCTACCACCACCTTAGAAAGTTGGCAATGTTTTTAGTTTAGAAAACTAAGCCTCCCATTTCTAGGCTCTTCTATATCCTACCTACAACTTACCCCTAACTTACACTTCTGACTTTTTCCTTAATCACATTCAAACCTGTCTAACACTCTTCTTACTCCTTAAATCCAGTATTTCTCAAACTTTAATGTTATTAAGAATAACCCAGAGAAATTGTTAAAAATCTATGTTCCTGGGCCATAATCCCAGAGAATGATTGCAGTTTTACAGGTAGAGTCTAGAAATCAGTATTTTAAAGAAACAAACTAGATGATTCTGATGCAGGTTTTCCATGCTCTTTGGAAATAATTACTTAAGCCTGGGTTTACCCTTGATTAATAAGGAGCAAAATTTATTCAAACCTCGAGATGCTAGTAGTATATCTAAAGAGGAGAAAAGAGAAACAAACCAAGCAAATATGTTGCCAGTAGGCTAAGAAGGCTTTGGCCCAGGGAAGCATGAGAAGAGCACTGAATGAGAGGTTAACAGGGCTTGGAGGACTAAACATACACATGGACATACATCAGTTGGCCCAGGAGAAATTTCCAAGACCAAATGACCCATGTGGATGAAGGGATTGAGGAAGGATCTGATAAGTACAAGTTTATGATATGCCTTGGCATGATGGTCTCATCTTCCAGAAAGGAAATAGGAGGGTTTTGACGATTCCATCCAGATTTAGGATAATACACCAAATGTATAATGCCATGAGGGAGTTCTTATTGGGATTGATAAAATAGGAAAGTACTTGTGTATAAAAAGTACTATGTCACTTTCTACACAATGTAGATCCAGCACAGCCTGTGATAGAACTTGAAGGACAAGGAGGACAAGTTTCTATGATGTATTCAGGGAAGGGAGGCCATCTTCTGGGTATGGAGAGTGATGACTGGGGTCAGAACACCTACCTTCCATTGCTCTGGAGGAAGAGTTGAAAACCTGTGGGATAAGGCCCAGTGTAGCACACATCTTGAGGGATATTTTCATTTTTTCAGGATCAAAGTTTTAAACTACAATAATTAATTTCCACATGCAGAATTCCTATCATTAGCCAACAAATGAAGCAAGGCAACAATTGGAAGTTGATATCAAATCAAATTTATAGTCACAAACTCTTTCTCATCTAAGACATTATGGCTTAGCAATTAAAACTGCAGGCTCTGAAGTCGGACTTTCTAAATTCTAATCCCTAATGCTACCTCTCACCTGATATGGGTCCTTAATCTCTCTAACTCTACTTCCTTTGCCTGTAGGATGAAGGTAGTGTTACCTTGGTGTAGTTGCTGAGAAATTTAACAAGAAATGAGTAGAAAGTTCCTGACACATAGTAACTACACACTAAGTGCAAGCTGTTATTATTATGAGGCGTTATTAGATTGTTGCATTCCAAATCATTGTCCTTTTTCCCCCTGTCAGCTTCAAGTTTCTTGTTCAAATAGCCATGTTTACTAGTGCTGTGGTTCGACATCAAGGTCTGACAAGTTTAAATGTGTGTCTTAGTTCTACCTCTGAGGTCTCTTAAACCTGTGGTGTTCCAGTTTGCTCAATTGTAAAAAGAATAATAATAATAGCTATTTGATTATGTAAATTAAGTCATTGTGTAGATTGAATAAAAATGTGTGTATGTGTGTGTGTCCCTCATAGCTCTAATTCCCTTCTTGATTCTCATCTTGCCAAGCAGTGTTTTTAGTGCAAAGCGCATGAGAACAAGAAACCATTTCCAACAATAACACAATTTCTCACTGCGTGACTTTAAGCAAGTCTTCCTAGACATTGATTAGGTCAACCAACAAGATTATTTTGAACTTCGAAATGATAAAATTTTAACCATATGTATGCTGGGATTATATTGTTGTTATCTGAAGTAAAAAGAGACAGCCAGCCAACTGATGAAGTTATTCAGGAACTTATATGTAGTCATTCAGGTTAACACTCAATAGAATAATGTGTAATAAAGACTTTAGTGTCTATATTTATAACAGTAGCTAAAAGCTAACATTAAATTTTTGACAGCTAGACTTTATAAGCTGTTTTTAATCATAATATTTACCTGACACTTTGGAAAGAGCCACAGTTGACACATATTTCTTATCTGAAACGATTGTGTTATCCTAAAATAGTGCTCTAGCATCCTTTTCTGGGTTTTATTGAGGTATCTCTTTGATTTTTGGAGATACAAGCTCTAGGCTAGCAGAATGAAGCTTTATTATTATCTAGCCACTTAAATCCCAGGACTTATTCCTACCAAAATGGACTTAAACAGAACATGTCCTGGGTACCTCTCTCCTTCAGCCTTGGAACCAGGATCCCTTGCCTCAGCTCATAATCTTCATTAAGGTGGATTCAGACAGAATTGAGAAAATATTTGTGCTCCCCATCTTTAATGCAGGAAGTCTGGAATAATAGATGATCCTGGATTAAATTTTGCCACAGCTCTCAAAATTTCATTCCTTGTCAATTAAACAAAGCAACTTGATGGTAATTTACATTCTTTTTGTCTTAGAATATTTTCCAACATTTTCCCTAATTGACAGGTAGGATCTATGTAATTCTGAGTATTTGGTGCTGGATGTGAGAAAAGAAACCTGGAACCAAGATGTCTAGTGAAATCCATCTTTCAAAACGTATGGATGAACTTTACAAGATGGCAAAAGCTCCCAGGGCGAGATGAACATATCTCCAAATTCAAGCAAAACTTGAAGAGGCAAGTTGATACATCCTTCTTCCTTTGATAGCATTCCCTCTTCCTGTTCATCTTACTCCATTAGAATGTTGGCAGACCTGAAGTTGAGAGAGGGCTAATAAATGTTACATTAGGAAGAGAGATTTCTTGTAACCTATAGAAGGAAGTGTTGGTAAAACCGACAACAAAAAAACACAAGAAACACCTTATGACAGCACTGGGGCTTTGCACAGTTCAATTCCATGTAGTTCTCTGACTGGTTAAGGAAAATGAAATCTCTAAAGGTACTGAAAGCCCAGATTTTTATTCTCTCATTTTATGTTAAGCCAATACACAGAAGACCACCAACACTAAAAGAAGAGTTCTTGAAACTGATAAGATTGTGTTCATGGTGCATTTATTCAGTCAGGTCTTCTCTGACCCCTCCACTCTTCTGAATTCTTCTAAAGCCACACTGCTCATGTGGTATCCAGCATAAGTGAAACAGAAGTATTTTTTTGCGTTGCAGCCACAGAAGTTGGCATGAAGTCCTGCCTCTACCATCTGCTTCCTATTTGATCATAGAAGAATTCCTTAAGCTTCTTCAGTCATCTTTTCCTTATTTATGAGAACAGTAATACCTATCTTTAAGGAATGCTGCAAGAGGAGATACACATATAAATTTCCTAATACACAATTAGTGTTCAAAATCATCCATGTTATTATCGATATGCTGCCTGATATCATAATTGTTTCTGTCCTTGTAAGTCACTTGCAGACACAAAGATAGATTTATGTATTCTCAGAATGTAAGGAAATGCTAGGTACTCAATACTGTGTTACTGATTGATTAAATGAGGATTGGTGGCTAAGGACCCACTTACAAAGGTCTGTTTCACTTCTCCTGCAGTTGACTGGAGATGAGCCCTGAAAACTGGACTCAGGTAACAGAATTTGTCCTTCTGGGTTTCCCCAGTAGCCACATCCTGCAGTTCTTGCTGTTCCTGGGGTTGATGGTGACCTACGTTGTAACAGCCACAGGCAACCTGCTAATTATTGGGCTCAGCTGGGTGGACCGACGCCTGCACACACAGATGTACTTCTTTCTGTGGAACCTGTCCTTCCTGGAGCTGTTGCTCGTGTCTGTTGTGGTTCCCAAGATGCTTGTCATCATCCTCACAGGGGATCACTCCATCTCCTTTGCCAGCTGCATCATCCAGTCCTACCTCTACTTCCTCCTAGGCACCACCGACTTCTTCCTCTTAGCTGTCATGGCTCTAGATCGTTACCTGGCAATCTGCCAACCACTACACTATGAGACGCTGATGAGTGGTCCGATCTGTTCCCAGCTAGTGCTGGCCTCCTGGTTAGCTGGATTCCTTTGGGTCCTTTGCCCCACCATCCTCATGGCCAGCCTCCCTTTCTGTGGCCCCAATGGTATTGACCACTTCTTTTGTGACAGTTGGCCCTTGCTGAGACTCTCTTGTGGGGACACTCGCCTGCTGGAGCTGGTGGCTTTTGTGCTTTCCACATCAGTGTTACTGGGCTCACTGGCACTGACCTCAGTCTCTTATGCCTGCATTCTTGCCACTGTTCTCAGGGCCCCCACAGCTGCCAAGCAAAAGAAAGCATTCTCCACTTGTGCCTCACATCTTACAGTGGTGATCATCGTCTATGGCAGCTCCATTTTCCTCTACATCCGTCTCTCAGAGGCTCAGTCCATGCTGCTCAACAAAGGTGCCTCAGTCCTGAGCTGTATCATCACACCCCTACTGAACCCATTCATCTTCAGTCTCCGCAATGATAAGGTGAAGCAAGCCCTGAGAGATGCCCTGAGGTGGCACAGACACATGGCTGCAAGAGACTATAAGGGTCACAAGTAAAAGAAAATAGTCCTATTAGATTGGGAGATTAACAATTTATTCAATTTTTTAAATGTATTTGAAAAACAAATCACTCAGACAGTACCCTGCACTTTTCTCAGATAAGAGAATAGTTTTCATAAATATACAACATGAAATATGAAAGTTAGCCTTCATTTTCCTCCCTCCAATCTTCCTTATGCTTCCACCTCCCCACAGAGAATGCTGCACCAGCTGGTTGAATTCCTAATGCTGGTTAGGACACATTTCCTTTGGGATGGGTGAGCATGGGCCTCTGTGCAGGAAGGCTGCTCCTCTTCTTTGTCATGTGTTCTCTTAAGCACACTTACTACTGCTTCAACATCCTGTATCACGAAGCCAATCAGGGAATGCTAAAATCTGGAGATTCAGGTATGGAGACAAGAGAGGAGTAAGAGGCCTTCTGAGGCCTTCCATCTAGACTGAGTGTGACAAACAAGATTACCTAGAACCTCCATATTGGGAAATCAAATTCTGGCTGCAGTAATAAATGGTTTCTTGATCCTCATTGGCTGCTGTTCTTTATGTGACTAGCAGCTCCGGCAGGAGTCTCATAAAGGAGGAGTGCTGAGATCAACGAAATATTTAAATATCCCAAGTTCTCAAGTCAAATTCTACCTAATAGACACTAATAAGGGAACAATCATTCAATTATTCCTTTAAGAAATATTATTAAATATTTAATATATTTAGGCACTGGGCTAGGCTGGGATTGGGTTAGAGTGAGCCAAGGAAGATTTTTAGTGTATAAATTTTAAAGAGATACACTCTCTTACTTGGTCGTGCAAGTGCAGGGTCAGACTGTGCACAAACCTGAGAGTAAATGCCTCCTCAATGCAGCGCCTGAGGTTCCTCTGCTGCTCCTAAATCTAGGCTGTGGAGCTAGGCCCTGGGTCTACAGTAGTAAACAAGGTGGCAATAACTCTCACTTTTATGGAATTTATAGTGTAGCTGTGATGGCTGGCAAAAAAAAAAAAAAACCCTAAATGCATAAGTCAGTAGGTAGTTGTAATTTCTGATAAATGCTTTTGAGAAAAGAGTAGAGTTTTGTTAGAGGGACTAATAAGGGCAAATAATTTGAATTTAGGATCAGGGAACACATCTCTGATGTGACCTTTAAAATGAGACCTGAGATTGAGCAGGAGCTAGCCAGACAAAAAGTAGGATAGGAGGATTCTGGAGGAAGAGGGAGTAGTATTTGCGAAGACTCCCAGTAAGAAAAGAGGGACTCAGAGAAACAAATGTAAATGAGGAGCAGAACTGGAGAGGTGGCTGCAATCAGTTCAGGCAGGTTTATGTGGATCTTTCTTCCTTTTTAAAGGCAATGTAAAAGCCTTTGAAAAGTTTTAAGCAAGAGGGTGATCAAATCATATTTTAAAAGATCAATCAGTTGTTGCTGGGACAGTTGATTAGAAAGAGGCAAAAGCGGATGTTAGAAAATCATCTAGGCAGTTATTGCATAGCCTAGATGACAGATGTGGCTAGTTGTGACTTTAGAATCGCAGGGGTGGTTGAGAAAAATGGACAATGCAAATATAATTTGGAAGCAGAGTTGATGAGATAAATACTCTTCTTTCCTATAGATCTTACAGTCTACAGTAGAACCAGGTTAATAAAGTACTACAATTTGGAAAGCAAGAATTCTATGGGACACAGAGAAGGGTACTTAATACACAAGGAAGGGGACAGTGAAAGCTTCCCAGAAGAAGTGTTATCTCACCTAAGATCACAGGAGTTAAACCAGGTTTAGAAGGGTGCTGAGTGTTTTCTATAGCACTTCTGCAGGTACGAAGCTCAGAGGTGCCCTGAGCATAATCAGGAAACTGAAAGAAACACAATATGATAGATTGTGGGGCAAAGAGAAGGAAGACATGAGATTGGAAAAATGAGCCTGAGCTAGTCAGTGCAGCTCTGTTCTTAATACTTTAAGATGCACTGTTTGGTAAATACAGTATGGAACTAGATATCAAAACAAATTCTTGTTCCAACTTGCTTGCCCTGTGCACTTGAACAAATGGTTTTCTCATTTTTACTTAACTTCCTCATGTGTAAAATAAAGAGATTGCATTAGGTGGTTTTTAACATTTTGAGGGGCCAATATTTGGGGTGAAGGACTTGGTTGAGGAACGGTAGAAAGTACAAGAGACTAAGCTAGAATGGGAGCATCACTCAGCCCTGAGAAAAAAGAGAAACCAGACCTTGAGCATATCACTGACAGACTTTATCATCAGGGGTCAGAAGAGCACTCAGAAACAGAATTACTCCCACATCCAGTCATGAGTGCAGAAAGCAGCCCAGGTGAGCCACACTGCAACAGAGACCACCAAGCACCCAGAAGACACTGTGTGGATCACCTTGGAGTCAAGTAAACCGCACTCCTACTGTATACATTTCGACACCACTTTAAAAGAGGACAAAGTTGGAAAGAAGAAGAAGGAAGAATCCTAATGGACTGAGTTATTTTTTGAAGAGAATGACCATTTACTAAAAGAAATTATTTCATTTTAGGCATAGAAGTAAGTGTATTAGACTTGCTTAAATTTTAGCTCTTTTTCCCTACTATTCAGCAGGATGGTACTTGTGCAGAATTTCATACCAGTTATTGAAAATAAAGAAGCTACATTTTATTTGCACATGTGACTTGTATAAGTAAACATGTGACTCTGCTACAAATTCAGGGTATACTGGAGAGAATTAGACTCTTGTTCCTAAATTAAACTGCACAGAAAGAGAACTCTGACTTGAATCTTCTGATTCCAAAATTCTCTTCCCATTAAAGTATATTCTCTTTAAATAGCTCAAGTGTTTGTTCTATGCTGTCATATCTTCTCTTTCAATATACCAACTCCCTTTTCTCTAGTCCTATGCCTGTCTTCTTTGGAGTTTGACCCATGCTCTAGGCCCCGTATACTAGACATTCCCTCTCAGCTGGATTTTATTGTTGAAAGGAATTTTGCTTATACTAATTTACTTACTAAAATATAAATTATGGGTAATAACTTAATTGCAGATATATTTGTAAAGCGTCATCCTCTTCACATCACACATCCATGGAGAGTATCACTGATTGATTAAATCTGATTGATTAAATAGCATTCAACAAGTTAAAAAAAACCTTGCTTTGTTTTATTTTAAAATTAACTCCTAGGTACAGAAGTGAGGATAAATGTATACTGATTTCTTCAGTACATTTCAGATAAAAATCCTCTGATGCAGGTAAGAAGACAACTGATTAATTTGGTGATAGAAGATGCAGGAATCTGGATCAGGGAGTTAATGTGTTGTGGAGGAATAGAGAGAGTATGGAAGAGAGGGCCATGACCATTTCTCCATACCCTCTTAAATTGAAGTAGAGATGCTAAGGGTACTTATGTATTATCTGATACCACTCTTATTTAGGGACTAGAGGATAATCCACCTTCCCACATTATAACCCAATTCTGCATTCTTCATTGGCTTCAGTTGTTGTCCACAAATGGTATTTTACTCCAAGTCCCCATATTCCAATATCTAGTCTATCTGACTCTCCCAATCATACTAGGCTAAGATCAATTTAAAGTATCATATCTACCATGATACCAATTTGACTGGCACAAACTCAGAAAGAGATAATGACCCTTAGTAGCTACAAGGAATTTTAGATATTATCAAGAACTTGGGCTCCAAAGTTAAATAGATCAGTGTTGGATTCCAGAAACAAGCTCTGGGGCCTTAAATAAATTATTTAATGTCCCTAAGCTGCAATTGATTTGTTTTTAAAATGAAGATACTTACTTCACAAGAATACTGAAAGAACTAAAATAAATAATAAACGTAAATCATTTGGTACAATGCCTGATGCATAGTAAGCTATTAATAATATTATTTAGATGATGATGATGATGATGATGATAACCTTAAGAAACTGTAAAGGAAAAAGTAATTTGCCCAAGATAATTCTCTTTCCCTTCATTGACATTAAATTCAATCAGCCTCCTGAAATAAAAACTCAGCACCCAACATTTATTTTTACCTCCAGGTTCCTCCTGTCTCCAGGAACTTTGTAATTGTTTTTGAGCTCTACAAATGTATTTTGTGTTTAAAAAGCAGTATCAGAAAAGAAACACCAGATTTACCACCTGCATGTATATTGCAGTTGGAACTTTCTCAGCAGGACCAACATCATGTTCATCTGGGAAAGTGCCATTTGAGCCAAACATCATTTCTGCATAGCACTTGAGGCTTTTTCTCTAAAAGACACTTGGGAGAAGTTCGAACTCATTCCACTTTCTGGCTTGGTTAAAAGTTCAGATTACAAGAACTTGACTGAAACTAAGAACAATAGTGAAGATGTAGACAAATAGTTTTAGCTATGTTGTGAGTCTTCTCAGGAAGATTGGTACATTGAAGCATCTCTCAGATTCTCAGGTTCCTGCCTCTGCTAATCTGGGGGTCAGTGCTTCAGGGGACCAAGAAGGTCCTTTTGCCTCCTCCACAGCTTCTTCATGGCCATGATCACTTCTTTGTTTCTCAGAGTATAGAATGCAGGATTCAGCATAGGAGTGACCATTGTGTACAGCACAGACACCAGCTTATCCATGGGGAATGTCTGAAATGGCCTTGCATAGATGTAGATGCAAGGCACAAAGATTAAGGTCACCACAGCAATATGAGAGGCACAAGTGGACAGGCCTTGCTGCTGCCCTCCTGAGAATGGCTTTGGAGCATGACTAGCAGTGCTATGTAGGATCCTAGGAGCGCCAGAAAACACATCAGGGCCAGAAAACACAATCAGGCCATTGTTAGACACCATCAGAAGCTCTAAGACAGAAGTATCTGTGCAAGCCAATTTGATCAGCTGGGGCACATCACAGTAAAAGTTGTCCAGCTTGTCAGGCCCACAGAATGGCGGCTGGATAATCAGTCTAACCTGTACAATGGAGTGGATGAAGCCCCCCACCCAGGAGGCTGCCATGAGAAGCCCACAAACTGTCTGATTCATAATAAGCATGTAGCGCAGGGGCTGGGAAATGGCGACATAGCAATCATATGCCATGACAGTCAGCAGAAAGACCTTGATGCCGCCAATGAAGTGGAAGAAGAAGAGCTGAGTCAGGCAGCCACCAAAGGAAATGATGGGGCTGTCTGAGAGCAAGTCAACCAGCATCCTAGGTGCTGTGATGGAAGAGTAGCAAAAGTCCAAGAAGGAAAGATTTCCTAAGAGAAAGTACATGGTTGTGTGCAGGCGTGGATCAGAGGTCACTATGGCCACAATAAGGAGATTTCCAGTTGTGGTCATAAGATACACAACAGAGAAGACAATGAAGAAGAGGAACCGAAGTTCCCATACCTGAGAGAGCCCCAGGAGGACAAAACCTGTCACCTGGGAATAATTTGCTGGATTCATCTGCTTGATATGACGTGGCAAGAGAACCTGCTAGGGAAAATGGACATATTCATCACAGGATCCACAAGCTTCTCTGAAATAATTGCCTCTGTGTCTCTGGGGAATTCTCCCCTATTTCATTTACTATAAGAAGAATGTTTTAAGTGGTTCTATAGGACACCAAGCATTTGATCATCATATATTGATGTAATCAAACACCAGGAGAATAAAACTCAGGATAGCACTGACACTATTTACGGTTTATGAAAATCAAAAATAATCACTCTCAAAAACTGAAAAGTGGTATGTAGAGGAAATATTGCTAATTCAATTCTCCCAGTAACTAGTTGCATAAACAGGAACAATCTTCTGAAATTCTCTAATCCTCACTTCCCTCATCTATGGCACAGATTAGCCAAAATGTCTGCAAAATTTGCTGTGTTTAATATTTTCCAGCTTTATGTGGCTTTTATTTAGAAAATCTGATAGATTCCCACATGCCAGGTATTTAGACATAGTTTCCAGGAAGTGACAGATTTCTCATTTATAACCCCAAACAACAAAAGGGGCAAGTTTCCCCTCACTCCCTGGAAAAATATTCACCTGCTTCAGAGAGATAGATCTACTTTGCATATAAATTTTCAGCCCTAGGAAGATGCTAAAGTCATGGGCAAGGGAAGCAAATAGAAAACGCTGTTCCTGCACTTTAGAAGGGTAGTAAAGAACTACTGTTTCTGTAAAGTTAGATGAGAAAATATATGGAAGAAAAATTTCCTGTCCATGGCTCTGGGAAGCCCAGAGAAACTACAGTCTCCAGGGAAATATAAGGAAGGGCAACTAGAATATCAAACCACCCCGAAGAGTTTGATCATCAGTCTTAATTTCAGGGACATTATCCAAAGAATAACTTCTCATTCATATGAGAAGCAGCAAGAGGATGCCATAGATATTAATCGAAGTTTAAAAATTACTATCTAGGGCCCAACCCAGTGATGTAGTTGTTGTTTGCATGCTTCACTTCAGCAGCCCAGGGTTCGCAGGTTCAGATCTCAGGCATGGACCTACATACTGTTCATCAAGCCATGCCATGGTGGCATCCCACATACAAAATAGAGGAAGATTGGCAAAAGATGTTAGCCCAGGGACAATCTTCCTCACCAAAAAAAAAAAAAAAAGCACTACCTAAATGCAAAGCTGCCTCAACATTTGAAAACCTTAAAAATAAAAGGGATATTTCTATGTATTTATTTTAAAAGACATTGAAAAAGCTGGCTACTTATAAGATCCCTAGAATGAATCTCTTCATCTCCCCTAATAGAAATGTAAAGTATCATCCCAAATTTAACTTAATTTTATGTATGACTTATTCAATTATTTTTTCTTTCCTTTGTTCTTTCTTCATTCAATAAGCATTTAAGAAGCACTTTCCATTTACTAGGCACTATGCTAAACACTAAGGATTTTAACAGAATAAGACACAAATGATTTAATGCAACTCCAATGTGTCATGCTCTGCAGAGGACCTGCACCTTCTGACACCTGCCCACCTCTCCAGGTTCATTATTTCATACACAGGCCTCTCACACATACACTATGATCTGCACACCAAACCACTTGAAGTTTCTTGAACTTGCCATGCTTGACACATGCTTCCTTGATTTTCTTTGTTAACATCTATGTATTTATTTTGTTTTAATTTTAATGAAATATTTCAAATACACAAAGTTGTATATCAGTTTTAGCTTCAACAAAGGAAGAGCTTCGAATTTGATACACCTATCCTTAAAACAAGAACAAACTAAACAAACTGAATGTCAATGACTTCTTGGATCCATCAGGGAACTGAGTTCACACGGAGAAACACCACCTCAAAACCTGGAGAGACAAGTGAAGCAGAGAGGATCATAGTGGAGAGCTGTTTACCAGGAGCAGAAGCCTCTGGAATCACAAAGTGGGAGGAGAACTTAAATGGCAATTTTAGTGAATTGCTGAAACCTGAGAGCGGGACACGCCTGAGGGCCTCAGGCTTAGGGAGGCCCCACACTTTAGTGTGTTTACTCCCCAAGAACCCTACTAGTTTCTCATAGTGGAGAGTCAAAAAACACACTCTCCTGGCACTAGCAGGGGGAGGGCAGGAGTAACAATTGTGAAATTGGCCCAGACAATTCCCCAAAAAAGATACGCATTCTCCAGGATAAAATACATTACTAGGGTCATATCCCACCTTGGTAAAGGGCATTTCTCCCACTCCAGTCCCCTATAGCCCTGGTGGATCACCTAAAGGGGTGAGTATAGGGACACAGACCCACTAAAAGACTGAGATTTAGTCACAAAGTTGTAGAATGCTTCCCCTTCCTCGTGAATCTTACCTCCACCTCAACAGGGTTCCAGTATGGTAATAATGAATTATAGCTAAACAGCAGCCAGACACAGACTCTCTAAGAATAAATACTAAAGGAAGCCTAAAGTCAACGGGGGAAACAATAGAATAATTTGAACCCTCTGACACCCACAGCTACAGCAAATATCAAATACAGTGCTACTACTGACCAGTTAAAATAAATTCTTACCCTATAGTTTCTTTACCTCAGTTCCTATTACCTGGTATATCATGTCTAGTTTCAAACAAAAAATTACAAGGCATGCTAAAAGGTGAGCAAAAACACAGTCTGAAGAGAAAAACTAAGCAACAGAACCAGATACCAGACTCATATATCACACAGATATTGGAGCTATCAAGCAAGAAATTTAAAATAGCTATGATTAATATGTTAAGGGCTCTAATGGAAAAAGTAGACAACCTGCAAGAACAGATTGGTAATGTAAGGAGAGAAACGGAAATTCTATAAAAGAGTCTAAATGAAACACTAGAAATCCAAAACACTGAAACAGAAATCAAGAATGTCTTTGAGCGGCCAGCCTTGTGGCCTAGTGGTTAAGTTCAGTATGCTCCACTTCGGTGCCCAGGTTCCAAGCACAGACCTTCACCACTTGTTGGCGGCCATGCTCTGGCAGCAACCTACATACAAAATAGAGGAAGATTAGCAACAGATGTTAGCTCAGGTTGAATCTTCCACAGGAAAAAAAAAAAACCTGGGGTCAGCAAACTATGGCCCACTTTGTGTTTGGGGCTGGCCCCATGGGCAAGTGGTTAAGGTCACATGCTCCACTTCAGCGGCCCAGAGTTTCGTCGCTTTGGATCCTGGCAGTGGACATGGCATCACTCATCAGGCCATATTGAGGCAGCATCCCACATGCCACAACTAGAAGGACCCACAACTAAAACATCCAACTATGTACTGGAGGGATTTGAGGAGAAAAAGCAACAACAACAAAAAAGATTGGAACAGTTGTTAGCTCAGGTGTCAATCTTAAAAAAAAAAAAAAGAATGTCTTTGATAGGCTCATCAGTAGGGTGGACACAGCCAAGGAAAGAATAAGTAAGCTTGAAAGTAAGCTTTCAATAGAATGTTCCCAAACTGAAATGTGGAGAGTACAATTGGAAAAGAGAAATAGAATAGAGCATCCAAGAACACTGGAATAATTTTAAAAGGTCCAACATATACACAATTGGAATATCAGAAGGAATAATAGAATGGACTAAAAGAAATATCCAAAGTAATAATGGCTTAGAATTTTCCAAAAATAATGATAGACATGAAACCACAGATCCAGGAAAGTCAAAGCACACAAAACAGGATAAACACCCAAAAAAGCCGTACCTAGGTACATCATATCCAACAGGAGAAAACCAAAAACAAAGAGAAAAATCTTGAAAGAAGCCAGAGGAAAAAATTTCTCAACTCTAGAGGAACAAAGATGAGAATTACCGTGCAGGTCTTATCAGAATCCAGGCAAGCAAGAACAAAGTGGATGATATATTTAAAGTGTTGAAAGAAAGAAAAATCACCAACCTAGAATTCTAAACCCAGCAAAATTATTCTTTAAAAGTTAAAGAGAAATAAAGACTTTCTCACACAAATAGCAACTGAAAGAATTCATTACTAGCAGACCTGCCCTGCAAGAATGCTAGAAGAAGCTCTGTGAGGATAAAGAAAATGACATAGATTAGAAATTTGGGAAGATTAAAATATGGAAGAGTACGGGAGAAAGAATAAATGAAGATTAAATAACTTTTAAAATTTTTCTTATTCCTAATTGATCAATAACTGTTTAAGAAAAATAACAATACATTGGGTTATGGATAAGTAAATGAATGAGTTATGGATAAGTAAAATGAATGATGGCAATGTCATAAGGGATGGGAATCCAGTCATAATGTGGACAAAGTGCCACAAACAACGTGGCTTAAAAAACAAAAGTTTTTCTCACTGTTCTAGAGGGTAAACATTCAAGATCAAGGTGTTGGCAGGGTTGGCTCCTTCAGAGCGCTGTAAAGGAGAATCTGTTCCTTGCCTCTCACCTAGCTTCTGGGGGTTTGCTGACACTCTTTGGCAATCCTTGGCATGTAGCAGCATCACCTAGATCTCTGCCTTCATCTTCACATGGCATTCTCTGTATGTGTGCCAGTCTTCAAATTTCCCCTTCTACAAGGACACCAGTCATACTGCATTAAAGCTCACCCCAATGACCTCATTTTAACTTGATTACTTTTGTAAAGACTCTAAAATTATGATCAGACTATGAGGCATTAGGAGTTAGAACTTCAACGTATGAATTTGGGGGGGACAAAATTCAATCCATATGAGGAGAAAAGAATTGGGAATACTCTGTTATAGGGTACCTACAGGTGAAGTGGCATAGTGTTATTTGAAGGTGGACTTAGATTTGTTAAAAACGTATGTTGGAAACCCTAGAGTAACTGCGAAAATCTTTTAAAAAGCAGAATAAATTCCTCAAATTGATCTACAGTTTAACACAATCCCCATCAAAATTCCACCAGGCTTCCTTGCAGAAATTGAGAGTTGATTCTAAAATTCATGTGGAAATTCAAGATACTCAGAATAGCTAAAACAATCATCAAATAGAAGGACAAAGTAGGAGGACTTACGCATTTTGAT